CTTTCCTCCTCCTTTACTCCTCTCTTTCCTCCTCCTTTACTCCTCGATTTTCTCCTCCTTTCTTTCCTCCTTCTTTTCTCCTTTCTTTCCTCCTTCTTTCCCCCCTCTCTTTTTGTATTTCCTCCTCCTTTCCTGGTCTCTTTATTTTGTTCTTCCTCCTTTCTTTCCTCCTCAATTTTCTCCACTTTTCTTTCCTCCCTCTCTCCTTTCTTTCCTCCTCCTTTCCTTCTCTCTTTCTTTCCTTTCTCTATTTATCTATTTCCAGACAGATTTTTCTCTTGTGATAGAATGATTAAAATCCAAGATCTATCAGATTTTTTTCTTCTGTCTGTGACTCCATTGGTGAAGTTATCTCTCACTTTTTGTCCATAGGATGGGAAAAAATTGAAGCCTTTCCAGTTCTACTTAAACATGTGTTTTTCTGTGTCCCATTGTAAAAATGTTTCCCTGTTGACAGGAAGTGTGGGGAAATCTCGCCAATAGGGGCACAGACAGCAATAAAAACACATAGGCCTGATAAAGGGGGTAATTTTGGACCCCTGAAATGCAATGGATTCTCTTTTGCTTCCCCCATGGCTTTTTATTGGAAGTCGTACCTGGACCTTTTAGCAGTGGTGTAACTAAAGTGTATGTTTGGGAGAGCTGACAACACTTACTCTGCTAAATGGAAATCCCAAGCAGTGTTGTCAGGCCTGCCCAGTTCACCTCTGCTGTACTACATAACCCCTCAAACAGGAAACAAGGAGCTCACTGGATTTACGGAAGGATCAACAGGTACTTTTCTGTACTTGCAGTGTTTTTGTAAAGACAAAACACGTGGAACTGTGCCTGTATTGCAAAGGTGTACTGATTTTTTTTTTTCAGTTAGGCCAGACACACTAAAGGGTCTATTTATAAAACATTTAATGGAAAAATGTCACAAGCATTTGTCCAGGCTGCACAAATTTTACTCATATTTTTTTTGATGATCGTCAACTTCTTCTAACCGAGGTATATTTTCCAAATGAGGTATTTAAAAAATATATACTGGATTTTGTCTAATAGATGGACCTGATGGTCACAGGAAGTCATAGTGTTATGGCACATACAAGGAACATTCGTGCAGCCTGGACAAATGCTTGTGACATTCGTCCAACTGATGTTTCCATATGGAAGAAAAATATATTTTAAATATATTTTAAAAATATTCTTCCCAAATTCTTTGGCCTTCCTCTGGATCAACTGTGGGTACAGGATTATAACTTTTTGTTTTGTTTTTTTTTTGTTTTTATGGTTGAACTGGATGGACTTTTTTCAGCCAGACTAACTATGTAACAAATATATTGACATATATTTGAAATACTAAAATTTTGGCCATATTCAATATATCTCAATAAATATATATATATATATATATATATATATATATATATATATATATATATATATAAATATAGTTCAATAAATCAATAAATATATATATATATATATATATATATAAATATAATAAAATATAATTCAATAAATTATATATATATATATATATATGTATATATATATACACACACTGTATGTTGAAATGCGTTTTTATTACAAAATATATGAAAAATATTTGTGAAAATACATTTCAAAATACTGTATGTCTTTAAAAATAAAAAAACTACATTTTTGAAAAGCATTTAAAAATATATGTAAAAATATATGTTAAAATGACTTTTATATGTTAAAATCTGAAGAATATTTTTAAAAATGTTTTTCAGATATTTTGTAATATATAAAAAAATGCATTTCAACATGCAGTATATACTGTATATACAGTATATATATATATTTATATTTTGAAATATATTGAATATTTCCAAAATTGTAGTATTTAAAATATATGTCAATATATTTGGGAAGAATATTTTTAAATTATATATTACAAATATATTTTTCTTCCATGTGGGTCATCAATGTATCAAAGACAGGAAGTGGGTACAGATAGTTACACAGTGCATCCATTTGTATGCTGTCCAATAATAAAGCATCTCGTAAACACAAATATAAAAAAAAATGAACAGGAAGGGCACAAAATGTTTATTTAAAAACAATTATATTCTATTTTTTTACTATAAAGTAAAAAATGCAAAAAGAATTGAAATTGTCAAAGATTGGAAAGAAGGGGGCCAGTGCTCCAAATATTTCATAGCAAGATTGTTTTTCGACACCTGCAAAGTATCACATTGCCCATTTTTGCTAATATTTATTCCAGGCTAGGATGGCATAATTCTTGTTCTATTGCTGACCTCCCTGGCTGAAAATTCAACTTTCCTGGCTGTCAGGAGTGGCTTTTTCACTGACGTGGAACAAGCCTACTTATCAGAGGCTCTGACTTTACTCTTCCTTTCCTTCCCCGTATGCTTGCCTTGGCTCAGTAATTAAAAAAATACTGAAATCTGAGGATAAGCATGACTGCCAAACAACTAGTATTTTCAGAGGGAGATCTGTTAACTGTCTTTTTTCGCTGTTTCAAGAAACAATTGTATTTAGTAATCTCAACCTCGCCCATCACAATGTGATAATAAACTCCCATTTGAAGCTCTTTCAGCGGCTGATTTAATCACTTACTGAGCATGTAGCTTCTTTATATTTTATTCCTTGCCTGTGCTCCAGTTTAATCTGGTGCCATGGCCAGCCCCAGGTTTCCTGTGTCAGGGTTGCTCCCATGGAACTAGAGGGGCGCTGGGGTGGGCTGTGCCTACCCCCCCCCCCCCCACCAGATTTTAGTTGTACTGAGACCACAAATTGGGGAAGAAAAGGGGGTAAGGTTAATTTGTGCTTGGGATGAGAGGTTTGTGAAGGAGGAGGGATGTAGGGGGATATTGGGAAGGGAGGATTTGTATCAGGAGGAATAAATGGGGGCATATCTGCTAGTAGGGGGGAGTAAAGGGATTTGTGCTAGGAGTGGGAGGGGATTTTGGTTAAGAGGGGAAATGGGGGAATTTGACCCCCTGTACCCTGCCCTGCTGACCCCATCCTCTATCCTGCTGACTCCTGTACATTGCCCTACTGACCCCCTGTCCACTTTCCTGCTGCCCCCTGTACCCTGCCCTGCTGACCCCTGTCCTCCATCCTGCTGACTCCTGTACATTGCCCTACGGACCCCCAGTCCTCTATCCTACTGACCCCTGTACCCTGCCCTGCTGACCCCTGTCCTCCATCCTGCTGATTCCTGTACACTGCCCTACTGACCCCCTGTCCTCTTTCCTGCTGACCCCTGTCCTCCATCCTTCTGACTCCTGTACATTGCCCTACTGACCCCGTCCTCCATCCTGCTGACCCCTGTACACTGCCTTTATGACCCCATTTTCTCTACCCTGCTGGTTCCTGTCCTCTGCCCTTTTGACCCCTCTTCTTTGACATACTGACCCCTGTCCTTCTGACTCCTGTACACTGCCTGCAGACTCTCCCTCCTCTGCCCTGCAGACCCCTGTCCTCTGTGATCCCTGTCCTCCGCCCTGCTGACTGTGCTAGGAGGAGGAATGGGGGGATAAAGTATATGATAGAAGGGGCGATTGGGGGGATTTGTGCTAGGAGGGGGTGGGGGGATTTTTGTTAAGGGGGGAATGGGGGGATTTGACCCCCTGTTCCATGCCCTGCTGACCCCTGTACATCACCCTGCTGACCCCTGCCCTGATGACCCCATGGGGGGGGGGAGCTGTATGGGGCCACATGGTTTCTAACAGCAGCCCTGAATGTACAGGTTGTACTCAGAGGGGGGAGGAGGGTGAAGGAGTTAATGAACTGGGCACATACAGTGGGAGGATGGAGATGAAGGAGTTAATTTGCAGGACAAGGGAGGCACAGGGTTAATATCTATCTATCTATCTATCTATCTATCTATCTAGTTGTATCCGGCCCTTGGCGATTGCATGGACCGTCACTCGTAAGCGACTTTTTCCATGAATTCTCTTAGCAATTATTTTTACAGGGTAGGTTGCCAGGTCTTTCCCCAACCCCCACCATGCAGAAGATCCCACATGGCCAGGAATGAATTGAGGACAATTTAGACAGGAGCCAATTAACCTACCAGCATGTCTTTGGAGTGTGGGAGGAAACCCAAGCAAACACAGAGAGAACATGCAAACTCCATGCAGGAGGCGCCATGGTTGGGATTCAAACCCACGACCCAATTACTGCAAGGCAGAAGTGCTAACTACTAAGCCACTGTGCCGCCAGGGTTAACATACAGGCCAGTATAGAGACAGGGTTGGAGATGAGATGTACAGGAGGGGAAAGGGTTAAAAACAATCCCACAATCAAATTCATTAACCCTCCCCCTTTTTTTGTAATCTGGTGCATTCTGGAATCCCTTCATTGAATAATTCCTCCTTCCACTATTGGGATTGGCCATCACAGCAGTCACACGGCACAGATCCACTCTGATTGGCTCTTTTAATTTTCCCTGTGTTCTGCCCTATCTAATGAAATTGCAGTCACAGGCATTCTGCATGCACCTGGCGGGATCACAAGTACTAAATAGGGCATTCCAGGAATACACGCAGGTAAAGTCAAAATTCTAGAAGCTAATTTGTGTGAATGAGATTAAGCGCTTCATATATGCCCAGTGTTGTAGCAATGAGGCAATATAAGGCCCCATGTACACAGGACACTTCTGAATGATGGAATCTGCTGGAAAACGTAGGTCAAAATAAGTCTGTTCAACCGTGTTTGCATAACACATTTATGCACGTTTGCATTTAGAAGAGTTTTTAAAGATAAGCACAGGAGAACCTCCCAAATGCCCAGAATGCACTGAAAAGTGGTAAATTATTAACTCTTTCAGACTGTTTCAGAGAAATACAGAGAGTAGAAGCAGAGACAGCAGTATGTGTTGAGATTAGCTGAGGTGGGAGTTGCTCATTAAAATTTCTTTTGTTTCCAAGGGTGGGAAAGGTGTCTGGTGGAGGGAGTCACTGAGGCCACCTGGCAGGGGGTCTTCATGAGGAATTTGAGGTGTGAATTGGTCATTAACATATCTTTTGTTTCCAAAGGTGGGAGAGGTCTGAGGTGTGAATGGTCATTAACATATCTTTTGTTTCCAAGGGTGGGAGAGGTCTGAGGTGTGAATGGTCATAACATATCTTTTGTTTCCAAAGGTGGGAGAAGTCTGAGGTGTGAATTGGTCATTAACATATCTTTTGTTTCCAAGGGTGGGAGAGGTCTGAGGTGTGAATGGTCATTAACATATCTTCTGTTTCCGAGGGTAGGAGAGGTCTGAGGTGAGAATTGGTCATTAACATATCTTTTGTTTCCAGGGTAGGAGAGGTCTAAGGTGAGAATTGGTCATTAACATATCTTTTGTTTCCAAAGGTGGGAGAGGTCTGAGGTGTGAATGGTCATTAACATATCTTCTGTTTCCAAGGGGGGGAGAGGTCTGAGGTGTGAATGGTCATTAAAATATCTTCTGTTTTCAAGGGTGGGAGAGGTCTGAGGTGTGAATGGTCATTAAAATATCTTCTGTTTCCAAGGGTGGGAGAGGTCTGAGGTGTGAATTGGTCATTACAATATGTAACAAGCTTGGTAGGAACATCCTGTGTTCAGTGTTTTGTCCATCTGAGTACTCTTTGCATGCATTTTTCATGATGAAAAAAGGCTCCGGACAGCATCGGGAACTGGAAGAGTTAAAAAAAAAGGTTTCAAACGCTTATAAACACGATTTGCAGCGTTTACAAGCAGGTTGCATTTGAAACGCTGATAAAATCGACTGCTGAACGCAAGTTTTCTGCGTTCAAAAAAACGACCGTAAACTCAAATGGCTGTAAATGAAGATGTGTACATGGACACATAGGAAAACATTAGGGGGGGGTTCAGGGGCTGCTGAAAAAAATGCTGAACATATCCTAAATGTGAGTTTATCAGCTGCAGTGTACATGGAGCCCTTAATGAACAAACGGGGATTCGCATGAAGAGTATGATTTACATTTCTGAGTTATTGCAATCCGTGCCAAGCTGGCCGGCTGCAGATCTCCAGCTGGACGTCGGTGAATCAAGAACCACTGCTGCAGTCAGGAAGTCTACTTTGCAGGAGAAATCCCGTTGCTTACAATGTCAGTTTTGTTTCCTCTTTTATTTGGGACGTTGGTCAAGATACCAAAGTCTCCAGCACCTGGAGTGGTTCCTCTTGCTTTAATACAGACAATGTTCATTGGATTTTCACAAGGCCATGGCTCTGTCTGGTGTTGTCCATTGACTGTCCGGTGCATTGGGTTCCCCCCGTTGGCCCAGTGGCAGTTCATCTCTGAGCCCATGTCCACCAACTACACCTCGGCCTCCACACTGCTCCCTGTGTTGGCCTCGGGGGTTTGTGGTTTCTCCTTCCTCCCATTGGAGGTTACTTCTTCCTCTCTCATGTTCTCGGCGCTGGCGGTTTCCTTGAACACTTTGGTCTCCACAGACTCCTTCTCCTCTTTTATTTTCCTGAAGAAGACGTTGGTTTTGTACCTGCAGCAGAAAAAAAAGAATACAAATTCATTTTCTACAACATCTGTATTGGTATTTCTATTTTTTATTTTTCCACCTCAATTCTTAACCTCTTTCCCGCCGCCCTATAGCAGAAATACTGGTACGGGGTGGCAGGGGTGCGCAAAATCACGTATATACAGTCAGGTAGGGGGCGCGCGCCTTACCTGTGCTGCCATTGGCGGCCTCAGCTGTCAATCACCAGGTCCCGGTCATCGAGTCCCGGCCGGCACCCAGCGACGGGGGAGAGACCTGTATGCAGGGGCGGACTGACAACTCATGGGGCCCCCGGGCAATAGGGGATCATGGGGCCTCTGTGTCCTTGCCAAAACTCAAAAAAGCCTATGAAAAAGGTACCAGGGGCATCTCATGAGGCCCCCTACTGACCCCGGGCCCTCGGGCACTGCCCGAGTTTCCAAATGGTCAGTCCGCCCCTGCCTGTATGTGAACAATACAGATTTCTCCCATGTCAGCTCCTGCATGGCAGAGCCATACAAAGCAGTGTGCATACAGTGTAAAGCACAGACACAGCGACACAGCACACAGTTAACCCTTTGATCACCCCAGATGTTAACCCTTTCCTGCCCAGTGCCATTAGTACAGTGTCAGTGCTTTTTATTAGCACTGATCACTGTATTGGTGTCATTGAAGATGTCAGTGATAGTCAGTTCCCCCCCCCCCCCCCAGTGTCAGAATGCCTGCCGCAGTCGCTGATTGCCACCATTACTAGTATAAAAAAAACAATTCCAGTACATATACCGCCATTTGTAAACACTATAACATTCACGTAGACCAATTAACCGCTTCCCGATCGCCCTATAGCAGAAATACTGCTACAGGGCGGCATGGGTGTGCAAAATCATGTGTATGTATATGTGATTTTGCATTTCCAGGTAGGGGGCGCGCGCGGGTCATTTGTGCGCCCTACCCGCACCGCCATTCACGACCTCGGCTGTCAATCACTGGGCCCTGGCTGGTAATTACTCGCCGGCGCCCAGTGATTTCCAATGATCGCCTAAGGTGAAATGTAATCGCTATAACTTTCACGTAAACCAATTAATTTACACGTATTGGGATTTTTTTTTTAGCAAAGACACGGAGCAGAATACATTTTGGCCGAAATTTATGTGGAAATTTGATTTTTTTTATTATTTTACTGGACATGTTTAATAGCAAAAAATAAAAAAAGTTGTTTTTTTTCTCAAAACTGTCAATCTTTTTTTTTTAGCGCAAACAATAAAAAACACAGAGGCGATCAAATACCACCGAAAGAAAGCTCTACTTGTTGGGAAAAAGGACGTACATTTAATTTGAGTGCAGTGTTGCATGACCGCGCAATTGTCAGCTAAAGTAACGTAGCGCCGTAACGCAAAAAAATACCCTGGTCAGGAAGGGGGGAATCCTCTGGAGGGTTACTAAACCCCGGACTCTGCATTCACTATATCCGCTCTCCCTGGACCCTGCATTCACTATATCCGCTCTCCCTGGACCCTGCATTCACTATATCCGCTCTCCCCGGACCCTGCATTCACTATATCCGCTCTCCCCGGACCCTGCATTCACTATATCCGCTCTCCCCGGACCCTGCATTCACTATTTTTGGTCTCCCCGGACCCTGCATTCACTATTTTTGGTCTCCCTGGACCCTGCATTCACTATATCCGCTCTCCCTGGACCCTGCATTCACTATATCCGCTCTCCCCGGACCCTGCATTCACTATATCTGCTCTCCCCGTACCCCGCATTCACTATATCCGCTCTCCCCGGACCCCGCATTCACTATATCCGCTCTCCCCGGACCCCGCATTCACTATATCCACTCTCCTTGGACCCCGCATTCACTATATCCGGTCTCCCCAGACCCCGCATTCACTATATCCGGTCTCCTCGGACCCCGCATTCACTATATCCGCTCTCCCCGGACCCCGCATTCACTATATCCTCTCTCCCCGGACCCTGCATTTACTATATCCGCTCTCCCCAGACCCTGCATTCACTATATCCGCTCTCCCCGGACCCCGCATTCACTATATCCGCTCTCCTTGGACCCCGCATTCACTATATCCGGTCTCCCCGGACCCCGCATTCACTATATCCAGTCTCCCCAGACCCCGCATTCACTATATCCGCTCTCCCCGGACCCCGCATTCACTATATCCGGTCTCCCAGGACCCCGCATTCACTATATCCGGTCTCCCCCGGACCCCGCATTCACTATATCCAGTCTCCCCAGACCCCGCATTCACTATATCCGCTCTCCCCGGACCCCGCATTCACTATATCCGCTCTCCCCGGACCCTGCATTCACTATATCCGGTCTCCCAGGACCCTGCATTCACTATATCCGCTGTCCCCAGACCCCGCATTCACTATATCTGGTCTCCCCGGACCCTGCATTCACTTTCAGAGGCGGACTGACCATTTAGCCACTCGGGCACTGCCCAAGGGCCTGGGGTCAGTAGGGGGCCCCATGAGATGCCCCTGGTACCTTTCATAGGCTTTTTTGGGTGTGGTTTGAGTGTGGGCAAGGACACAGGGGCCCCATGAGTTGTCAGTCCGCCCCTGTTCACTATATCCGTTCTCCCTGGACCCCGCATTCACTATGTCCGCTCTCCCCGGACCCCGCATTCACTATATCTGATCTCCCCGGACCCTGCATTCACTGTATCCGCTCTCCCCGGACCCTGCATTCACTATATCCGCTCTCCCCGGACCCTGCATTCACTATATCCGCTCTCCCCCGACCCTGCATTCACTGTATCCGCTCTCCCCGGACCCTGCATTCACTATATCCGCTCTCCCCGGACCCTGCATTCACTATATCCGCTCTCCCCGGACCCTGCATTCACTATATACGCTCTCCCCGGACCCTGCATTCACTATATCCGCTCTCCCCGGACCCTGCATTCACTATATCCGCTCTCCCCGGACCCTGCATTCACTATTTTTGGTCTCCCCGGACCCCGCATTCACTATATCTGCTCTCCCCGTACCCCGCATTCACTATATCCGCTCTCCCCGGACCCCGCATTCACTATATCCGCTCTCCCCGGACCCCCGCATTCACTATATCCACTCTCCTTGGACCCTGCATTCACTATATCCGGTCTCCCCGGACCCCGCATTCACTATATCCGGTCTCCCCAGACCCCGCATTCACTATATCCGGTCTCCTCGGACCCCGCATTCACTATATCCGCTCTCCCCGGACCCCGCATTCACTATATCCGCTCTCCTTGGACCCTGCATTTACTATATCCGCTCTCCCCAGACCCTGCATTCACTATATCCGCTCTCCCCGGACCCCGCATTCACTATATCCGCTCTCCTTGGACCCCGCATTCACTATATCCGGTCTCCCCTGGACCCCGCATTCACTATATCCAGTCTCCCCAGACCCCGCATTCACTATATCCGCTCTCCCCCGGACCCCGCATTCACTATATCCGCTCTCCCCGGACCCCGCTCTCCCCGGACCCTGCATTCACTATATCCGGTCTCCCAGGACCCTGCATTCACTATATCCGCTGTCCCCAGACCCCGCATTCACTATATCTGGTCTCCCCGGACCCTGCATTCACTTTCAGGGGCGGACTGACCATTTAGCCACTCGGGCACTGCCCGAGGGCCTGGGGTCAGTAGGGGGCCCCATGAGATGCCCCTGGTACCTTTCATAGGCTTTTTTGGGTGTGTTTAGAGTGTGGGCAAGGACACAGGGGCCCCATGAGTTGTCAGTCCGCCCCTGTTCACTATATCCGTTCTCCCTGGACCCCGCATTCACTATGTCCGCTCTCCCCGGACCCCGCATTCACTATATCTGATCTCCCCGGACCCTGCATTCACTGTATCCGCTCTCCCCGGACCCTGCATTCACTATATCCACTCTCCCCGGACCCTGCATTCACTATATCCGCTCTCCCCGGACCCTGCATTCACTATATCCACTCTCCCCGGACCCTGCATTCACTATATCCACTCTCCCCGGACCCTGCATTCACTATATCCGCTCTCCCTGGACCCTCTGTCTGGACAG